GTCACCACTATATAGAATATATAAAGTAATAATAACAAACAAATAATAATAAATGAAATATATAGATGGCTGGTGTGCAAATATTACGATTAAAATGTTAAGCAATGTGGCGACAAAAAAATGTTAAGTAATGAATGTATTACAGATGGTACAAAAGCTTAGTTTGAACCAATTATTTATGCTATTAATTGACTAAAACCGACTGTAATTAAAAAAAATTCATATAAGATCAATTCAAATTTGTAATAAACTAGATATATAGTTTGGAAAAACATCAAACCTAATTATATAAAGGACTCACTATATAATGATGCACATACAAATTTTGTTGCTTATATAACGCTTCAGTCACCGTCGTATATAAGTTTTTTGGTTTTGAACTTAACCGTCGTATATAGTTTACTGTCTTTTTGGATTCTATCTTTGTTCGATAATTAGTATGTTACTTTTGAATGTTGGAATTACTTGTTTACAATTAGTTTTGTTTCCGTAGTATATCATTGTCCACACAATACTGAAAATGACTTACAAATGGATGAATTATCTTAAATTTATTTCAATTTAAACATCAATATAACTTTGAACTTAATTGTCTCAAGACAAGTTATTGAACAAATAACTTTATTTTGGTAATATAGATAGCCAGATCAACTTTTCTATTTTTTATGTATTATTATTATTACTTTTAGAAATCGAGATATTACAATTTACAACTCAGACGTATAAACTTTTATATTAAACTCTTAATATTCTAAATATGACATGTATGGTCGAAATAGGGTTGACGTAAAGGTTGAAGTAGGTTCTTAATGAATTTAAATCGGTTGACAAATAATTAGATTAAGTTACTTTAGCAAAACAAACATTATATATTAAATTACATTGACGCAAATTGTATAATTCCAAACAGAAGTGGGGCTGGTCAGGAAAGGTGATATTATATAGCTTTTATTAGGCAATTATTGAATACTATAAGAAACATATATTGATTTTTAGTTATGGTAATGGTATAATGTAAAACGAAAAAAGAACAAAAAATGATGGTGTAGAGTTGTAAACTTTAGTATTAAAAAAAAAACAAAATGGGTGTAGTCAACTTAAACTAAAAGAAATGGCTAATGGATTCCTCCATACAAAGTTTTTTTAGAGATAAATGTATTTTTATCGTTTTAAATTCATGTTGGCCATAACTTGTAATCTTTATATGTTTTTTTATAACTATCGAGTTCTTTTGTCTTAAGTTATAATTATTTGTGCTAATTTCAAAATTTTGTTTTATGTGTTATATGTCTGGGTCTGTATGTTTAGTCGTCCATCATATAAAAAGTAGCAATCACGAGGTGACAACAATTTGGGGGGATCTATTTATTTTCAACAAAGCTACCGAGCAAAGGAATTTGCTTTTCTTTGAAAACAAAAATGTTCGATGCCTAAATAAACCACTAATAACATCGACTGATATCACAAGACGGTAGAGGATAAAAGTAGTTTTACTTTTGAAAATGAGTTTGCTATTTGTAACAAAGGACTTTTTTTGCGGAAAATGGTCTAATTTATTTCAAAACAAATAAATTAAAAAATTAAATTAATTGATAGTTTAATACTCATAAGTCTATAATTTTAAAAATATAAGTCAACTATTGTAAATAAACTGATTATACCAAATTTAAGTTAACTACACAAATAAATTAATAATAATTAAGGTCAAACTTTTTTATAATCGTTTAACAAAAAAATAAGATTCACCACCATTAAAAAGAAAACTAAAGTATCTAAAACATTACTGATATAAAAATCGTAATTTTGTTTTTGTTTGGTCAACTAAAAAATGCGTAGTTAAGCATTCGTTTTAGCTGGCTTGGCATTTTAAACGTAATATTTGTTTAACACTAACTATCTTTACTCATTAGTTACACACACTACGAATTGACCCAATCGTACAGTTTATACCTGACTATTAAAATCTCACACATGTTAATTACGTTACACTTATTTTCCGTAAGAAAAGGCGTCCGTACACTCGTTAAAAGAAACATATATTTGACATCGATAGTTTTTTTATTCTCTCGGAATTTCCTTTTTCTTCTTTCCCTCATCTTTAGTTTTTCTTCTTTGGTAGGGGCCAATGCCGATACTTGCCATAACCCCTTAATATTGTAGAAATAAAAATTAAATTTGATTCGGTTCGACAATAGTAATATTACAACTACAAAACAAATTATAGAAAAAGAAGAAAATATATAAAATGATTAAATTAGAGTGCCCTTTTAAAATTTAAAATGTTATCATGATACAAAGTGGAGATAGGATTTCTCAATATTTTATAACATTTTTTTTTTTAACCCATTTGGGCCTATAAAGGTCGAAGAATAAATACACACATACAGTACACCTATACAAGCAGACGAATTAATTATTAACTGCATCAAGAACAAAATGAACAAAAAATTATATAATTAGATAATATGCGTAACAAAATAACTGAAAGAGAACTCTTGTACATTCGTGAATATAAAACAAAATCCAATTTTGCAAACAAACAACTGAATCAGACTGATTAATTGAAGCCATAATTTAGCCAAAACTAGTTAGCTTAGCGAAATCCTGAATCTTCATCGCTAAACCTTAGTTGCGGGATAGAACTTGCAAGTGTCAGGTGCGTCGCATGAATGCAAGAAAGTCTTGTTTTATAGTAACTAATTGACAATCTCACATTTTAAATAATATATAGTTTTCACATTAAAATGGTTATACGTATAAGAAATGGAGATAGTGATGTTTTGATATTAAAGATTTATCAGGGAGCATAAAAGAGGGCTTTTCTACATGTGTATAGTCATTTGCAAATGATTAATCGACCACACAATTGCATTTAGAATCATTCACTCTCTCTCTCTCTCTCCGCTTTTGTAAAATAAGTTTTTTTTTTTGAACATGCTTTTGAAAAATAAGTTACACTTACACCCATCATTTTGGATTTGATAGAGTATTCGATAATGGACTTTGATTTATAATATAGAAAGAAAGACAGTATGTACATGGTTAGATTCGGACGCAGGTACCATTTATCTTCACTCCTATTCGTCTTTCAGTGCATGTTTTCATATTTAAGAAGATTTGCACAGCTTTACCCTATTGTTTCAGTGCATGGATCGAATTTCACTGTATTTATCCGTTGATCACCGTAGACGCTCTGAATCGTAAAAAAATTCTTCTTTCGGTAAATACCTTATAACACTATCATTGCCAAAAATTTCTTTATATATTTATAACAATTTTCTTCTGCCAGTAACTATAAGATTAAGCAAAAAACAAAAACTAATAGTCCACTAGTAAATTAATAAAATTGTTTTCGTGATGGGCGTTTTTGTTTTCTCTGAGCCCTTATAATGAAATCTGAATCAGACATTTCGTTTTGTCGGATGGATTCGGCCTTGTATTATATGTTTGTCAATAACACAAAATTTTAAAATTATCGTAACACTCCCGCTTAAGTCACTAGCTAGTCTTTAATTAATCATTACTATCATTTATGTATCATTTACAGGACAACAATGAAGATTTTTGACTTCTGTGTTACAAAATTTACAAAAAAAATCTATTATAATCTAAAGCTTATTGTCACAGATTTAATAAATATATATGTTGTGTTTATTGGTATCCAATCCATTTTTTTTTAAATGAATGTTAAATTTATTCACTAAAAAGCAGTTTTACACTGACTGCTTCAATTCTTTAAAATTGGAAAGGATACTAATAAACGCAACACATGTATTTTATTAAAATATGAGAGAAAGCCGAGTGTGTTGCCGTTGAGCTGATGCAAGTATATGGTTGGATTTGAGTGACGAGCCACATACTAATACTTAGCCTTCCTCGTAAACGTGATCTCCCATGGCACGGATGGAGTTAACGTGGTTGCGGAAGTTCTTGTCGATAAGCTAGATTACTCGATTAGAATCGAGTTTTCTCCATATCTCGCTTGTTCCATTTTCGCAACATAGGTACAAGGTCGATTAAAACACATACCTGATGGTGGAGGTTGTGTGATTCGATCAAAGGTGGATTCATGGGATGATGGCGATGAGCTAATCTAAAAAATACAATGGAGGGCAAGCATGATGGAGGTACATATGGTGTATAGTTTACAAACAATAAGAGGGTGTATTAAAACTAAAATTTTAGAGAATTTGAAAAGATTTGAGTTTTAATAAAATTTTAGATGATTTTATGTGGATTAGAGAAGTTGATATGATTGATATTAAAATTATATGAAATTCCACCTAAAACAATGAGATTTGGTCTTCTATATTTGTAACTAACAAACTCCACCAAATCATTTAAAAGTATTCAATATTTTGTAAAATCCACTATTTAAATAGTAGATTTGATTTGGTTTTTACAAATTTTTGATTGAATAACATGGATGTTGAAGTAATTTTAATTGGTTTTATATAAATTTCATGTTCAATAACATGGACTTTGGCAAAACATTTAGAAATTATTAGTTGAATAACATGAAATTTTTAAATAACCACAAAGTCTTCTAAAATTTCTGTTTCAGTATATGCCTAAATATCTGTCAAAAGATGGGCCTAGCTTGGTTTTAAACTTCGCATGTCTTTTATTGGGCTTTATAAAATGATTTATACATTGTTAATATTGGGCACCAACACAAATTTTGTTAGGCCTTTTCTAGTATTGTGGTACAATATGATTTTGTTTTGTTGGGCTTTATAAAATGATTTATACATTGTTATGATTTCATCTCATTTTAAGCCTTTTCTAGTATTGTGGTACAATATGATATGTATTTTTTTTTTTTTTAACTTTTGCCTGCAATATGATTTTTTTATTAGTTTGAAATTTAATATGGATGAAACATTTATAAAATTATTGTATTAAACTATGAATTATAATATACGACGACTTCAAATGTTAAATTATATTATGAGCCGTCATAATTGAGAGTAGACTAACTATGTATTAACGTTATAAAATAAAGATTTAAAACGTAAACTAGGACGTAATTTTTTTTAAAAAATCCGACATGTATGCCAACGACTTCCCCCAGCCACGCGGATGACGGCGCGTATATTTCACTCGCTGAAATTTCATTTCTTCATCTGTGTCGAATTCGAAACGAATCTGAAACCGCCACACACAGTCGCCAAATCCGCCGAAAATGTCTCTCTCGCTACCCTCTTCTTCGAGTGCTGCTGCTGCGGCGGCGGCTTCGACATCGGGGTCATCGTCTTCTCCTGCGGCCCCTTCGTCTTCCTCCACGACCACATCCTGGTTCTCCGGAATCGTTCGCGGCCGTGGTGAAAAATCCGGCAGCGGGAAGCTATCGAAAAGCGCTTCCATGGCGGGAGGCGGAAGCGGAGATTACGGTGGACCCATCAAAGGGAAGAACCAATTTCGCGGAGTTTTGTTCAAATACGGTCCCAAATCAATTCAGGTTCCCTTCGATTACCGATTTTGATTTGTTAATTGCGTTGCTTTTTAGTTACTTCGAAGCAAAAAGGTGGGGAATTTTAAATTATCATTTCCTAAATCCGAGTTTTGCTTAAACTATATAGCAGCCTCTGGATTTCTAAAAAATTAAAACTTTGATCGTAATAGTTTTCGCAAACGATTGTGTTCATCTCAACTTTGACTTTTTTTTTCCTGTCCCAAGTTGGTTCCTTGTTCGCTGATCATGTTAAGATTCTTTGAAGCTTTGTTGAAACGTAGATTTGAGATAATCTAGGTCAACGTTCCAAGTCATATGAGTTATCGATTTCAAGGTTTTGCATAAAGTGAGATGATTTCAGTTGACCACTTTTATAGCAGCAGTGATAAACGTTAACAAAGATGGTCCATTTCTGAAAATTCAGAATGGTTCCTTGCATGAACCTGTAGATTCTTGTTTGTGAAGTTTCGTGGTTACGGCTATTCTAGATTAGATTCTGGTAGTAATATGTTTCACATGTATCTGCAGGTGGCTTTTAAGACCGGAGAGTATAAACAACAAGTGATATTTATCGGTGGATTAACCGATGGACTTTTAGCAACCGAGTATGTGGCTTCTCCCTTTGCCTTAAACCTTTATCTTTTGGCATAGATTGTGCAGTGTTTACTACTTACTCCTACTTGCCTACACTGAATCTAGATGATGGTTGTCTTCCACAAGTTTGTAGTTACCCTAGCGAATATCGTTTTTTCATGTATATCGAATCATTGAACATTCACAAATTGGCCGTTTCAGTTACTTGGAACCTCTTGCAATTGCGTTGGATAAAGAGAAATGGTCACTTGTTCAACTACTGATGTCGTCTTCATATACTGGATTCGGCACTTCCAGCTTGAAACAAGTAAAGACTTGGCTTTTTTGTATATATGGATTTGATCTCGTCTTGTAGTATTGGTAGCCTCAGGGGAAAAACTAAAAACTTCTCCATTCAGAAAATTACTTAAAAAGATTATATATACTTGTTCCTTTTGATGAAGGATGCACAAGAGATCGACCAGCTAATAAGCTATCTCATCAATAAAGAAAACTCCGAAGGCGTTGTTCTGCTTGGTCATAGCACTGGCTGCCAGGTGATTATTGGTTATGCTCCTAAACACTTTCGTCATGGTTCTGAAAGAAAAGTTCTGACGGAAACTCTTTCTGCTCGCGCATTTGAAACAGGACATTGTGTATTATATGGGAACTAATGCTGCATGCTCCCGAGCTGTCCGAGCTGCAATTTTGCAGGTGCTAATTCTATATTTTCTTGTAAAGCCACTCGTTATCTTAAGTTATATTTCCTGAGTTGGATTTTGTTTAGTGTGCTGTGTATCATGTTTTGACTCTAGTGTAGCTTTGATCATATTACCTATGAAAAATGTTCACTTAGGCACCGGTCAGCGATAGAGAGTATAAAGCAACACTTCCCGAAACACCAACTATGATAGACTTGGCTGCAAACATGATAAAAGAAGGCCGAGCGGAGGAGATGATGCCTAGAGAAGCTGATCCTTGTGCTCCAATCTCTGCTTATAGGTAAATATATATCTTTCATTGTACCATAATCGCAGGCTTGGAAATGGAAAACTTGTGTGTTCGAACATGTCTGTATACAAAAATCAATCTTTTGCTTGCTTCTTGTAGATACCACTCCCTTTGCGCTTACATGGGGGATGACGATATGTTTAGCTCTGACCTTAGTGATGATCAGTTGAAAACTAGACTTGGGCATATGGCTAACACACCTTGTCAGGTAAAACAAAACTAACCATCACGATTAGTTTCAATGTTATTAAGTTGAAGCCATTGGGATCTGATTAGCTTCTTATATTCTCTCTGTTCCTTTGTTCTACACAGGTGATTTTCTCCATGGGTGATGAGTATGTACCGGATTATGTCGACAAAAAAGCACTGGTTAATAGGTGAGAGGCCCTTAAACTAAAGAATAAGAATCATTAAGTTAGAATAGGTATATTATATAGAGAGAGAGAACTATAGATGCAAGCTTTGGATATAAATGATCTAGAAATGATTGGAAATGAATAAATAAATCAAAAGGATTGATTTGATCTCTGTGGTTACAGATTAAGTAAAGCAATGGGAGGAGCAGAGAAAGTGGAGATAGAGCATGGGAATCACTCTCTCTCCAATAGAGTTCATGAAGCTGTTCAAGCCATTATTGGTTTTGTCAAAAGAGAAGGACCCAGTGGTTGGGATGATCCTTGGAGCTAAATCTGCATTTTTTCCAATCTATAAGGATGAAAATTACCAAAATCTCAATCTCATGAATTAGCTTCACTTCTTGGTTGATTCATCATCATCTCCCCTTGAGAGTAAAGATAAAGGAATATGCTTTTCTCTTTCTATTCTGGTATATACTTGAATCACACAAAAAAAAACAAAGAAATTGGGTCCTTGTTATATAATCCTCAGTTTCTTTTGTTGCTTTGTTTTGTCGTCAATCAACAATATTGTTTTTCTTATTATATAATCTTCGATACGTCTCGTTTTGCTGATTTGAATTCATATGAACTTTTAGCAGATTTGAACAGAAAGTTAGTAAAAGTCCATATATGTGCTGAGATTTCATACACAACCTCAATGATTGTAGCTAAACACAGACATCGCTGTGTTTTACAAATGGATTAAAAAGATGAACTAGTAAATCTACCAAGTTCTCATCGTGAACAGAGATGATCGATGAACATGAAATATCTGAATCAGTGAGCAACAAAAGGTAAAAGGTCGATGACAGAACATAAAAGAAGTTATTACAAAACAAGCAAAAGTCAATGGTTTTAACTTAGGATACTAGAATTTAATGTGGCATGTTGTGAAATTTGTATTAGACTGAGTTTGGCTCAAGAGTCTTAACCATAATATTATCCTATCCAGAGGGACAGAGGCGTTGACAAAAAGATAAAGCTAATAAACAGAATTTTCCATTAGTGTAGATATAATATAACTGTTTTCTCCTTTAACACCATAACCTGTATATATCTTTCTTGTCTAAAATGGATTTACCTTGTAATAACCAATAACCTTGCAATAACCAAAACAAGGCACGTGATGCCAAACATTGTCTCTTAAATCACAACTGTACACGACGGATTTAATACTTCACGGGCAATAACCGTAATAACCCACCCCCAACGTCACGCCGACGCGACTTCAGACACGCTTCCTTGGCCAACATGTCGGTGTTCTATTAGTTGGCGCGGTCGGGGCAACGGTTATTTCGACTGGATCATGGGGTTATAATTGTCCATACAGAAAACTGTCATATCTTAACTTTTCCGCCTTTTGGCAGAGGAGGACTCGGGGACTTTTCCTGCAAACCAATCTCTAATTCTCTTACATTCAAATCTAATAAGTGTTTCTTTTGCATCTGGATGAGATGCTAACAAAGTTCCGGAAAAATTAGGAATTGAAACCGTGGAAGAAGAAGAAGAATCATAATGTAAGTTTTTCAATGTTTTTGATTATTCTATTCATTATAATGTTTTCTCGAGGTAATCGAAAGCTTTTACTAAGAAATTGAAATGAAAAACCTTACTTGGAATTCGCTGTGTCGTCAAAATTATTTCTTTCCTATTGTCATCTTCTTCGGTTTCCCCATATTTTCTTACTTTGATATTCCTTTTTTTTAAGATGCCGGAGAAAGGACTGATTCCGTCTCTGGCGCAGAACCAAGTGACGAATCATCACCGTCTTAGTCCTCTGCATCAATGGAGATTCGGCGCTCTAACATCTCTCGCCTTCTTCCTCATGGTTGTCGTCTGGAGCATTGACGGTTGTACGATGAAAAGCTTCGTAGAGTCTTGGAGATTCAACGCTTACTACTCCGTGCGAGTCACTGCTTCTTCTTCTTCTTCTTCTTCTTCACTGAAATCTAAAACCCATTCTCTGGATCTAACTTCGAACACAACCAGTCAACCGGATCTAGATACGACCCGAGTGAAGTTCGACTGGATCTCCGCCGAGATGGAGCAGAATTTTACGGCGAACCTCCTGAGAAATTGGTTGGCTCCGGGAGGAGAGAACTGCAGAGAAGGAAAGACCGTCGACATTTCCGTTCCGAGCATCGACGGGAAAGATTCGGCACAGTTATCTTTAACGGCTGGTAAGATCCACGAATTCAGTTTTCAATCCCTAGACGAATCTGGAAAACCGGTCTGCATCGGTGGTGATTACTTCGAGACTGATCTCTCCGGCGAAAACTGGAAGTCGAGACCACCGGTGAAGGATTTGGGCAACGGCACTTACTCTTTCTCCCTTCAGGTACATCCCGATTTCGCCGGAGATTACAAACTCACCGTCGTTTTGCTCTTCCGTCACTTCCAAGGCCTCAAAATCAGCCCCGCGCGCTTCGCCTTCGACAGAGAGCTACGCAGTTTCAAAGTACGCTTCGTGAAGAAACTCGGCGTCGTTTTGCCGGAGCTCCGGAGATGCGACCGGTCCGATTTCGCCAGAGACGTATGGACCGGCCGGTGGACTAGGCTCGGTAAGAACGACGAGTGCGAGATCAGCGACGACGGGCGTTACCGTTGCCTGGCCGCTGATTTCCCTTGCCGGAAACCATGGTGCGACGGAGCTTTAGCTGATTTAGAAAGCAACGGTTGGGTTTACTCGAGCCATTGCTCGTTCAAGCTCTTCTCCGGCGATTCGGCTTGGGACTGCTTGAAGAACAAATGGATTTTCTTCTGGGGAGACTCGAACCACGTCGATTCGATCAGAAACTTGCTGAACTTCGTCTTGGGCCATCCGGAGATCGGAGCCGTCCCGAGGAGATTCGACTTGAAGTTCTCGAATCCGAAGAACTCATCGGAAACCGTTAGGATCACGAGCATCTTCAACGGACATTGGAACGAGACCCAAAACTATCAAGGTCTCGACTCGCTTAAAGATCACGGCTTTAGAGAATTGCTCAGAAGCTACTTCGCCGAGGAAAACGGCGTTCCCGACGCGATGATCGTTAACTCGGGCCTCCACGACGGGGTTCACTGGTCGAACCTTAGAGCGTTTGCGAAAGGCGCGAAATTCGCGGCTGCGTTTTGGAGAAACGTTTTCGACGACACGGTGAAGCGCCGCGGGTTCCGAACGCCGGAAGTGATTTTCAGGAACACGATCGCGACGGGCGGTTACGCGAGGACGCTCGCGTTTAACCCGAGCAAGATGGAAGTGTACAATGGGGTGTTTCTGGAGAAGATGAAGGAACAAGGGTTGGTCTCGGGTGTGATTGACAACTTCGATATGACGTATCCGTGGCATTACGATAACCGGTGTAACGATGGGGTTCATTACGGAAGAGCTCCGGCGAAGATGCGGTGGAGAGACGGCGAGATTGGGCATCAGTACTTCGTTGATTTGATGCTTGTTCATGTCTTGTTAAATGCATTGTGTGTGAGATAAAAAGAGTATAGAGATGTTTAGTTTGGTTAGAGTCACGATTCTTTTATGTGTGTGTATACTGAATAGGTTCACAAATCATTAGTGGCGTTTTGGCGCTAAAATCAGACGATTTTGTTAATAAATGGATTTACGCGATCATCTGTGGTTTTTAAGTGGTTCTAGACGGTCCTCCGACACAACCATTATTTTTTTTGTATTGATACACATTTATGATATTTTCGTAATTTTGATGTTTATAATAATAATATACTGTATATATTTTTTTGTTAAAAGATTCATATTACTGTATTTTAATTAGTACTTTGAATATTAAAACATTTGATCATGCAACACACATGCCACATGGCATACTTTGTGCTATTCAATGCTAATTCAAACATCTATTATTTTTAATGTTAGTTTATAAAACATCTGCGGATATTCGGTTTTTAAGTTTTTTATATATTACTATAATCTTTTTTTAGACAGAGTAAGTACAAATCTCAACCTTTTTAAAATTTAAAATGAAAAACAAATAGAAGTATATAAATGATGAGATATTATCAAAAAAATCATCCAAGGACGGCCCGTAAGTCGGTACGCGGTTTATTGTAACCAGTCACAGTTCATATGCTCACGCTAAAGATGGAGTCTGCAAACCAAATCAACAATTGAATCTCCATCTTCACGAAACCCCCCAATCCAAAATAAATTTCTGTCCTTTTCGGTTCCCGATTTGATAATCTCCACGGCAAGCGCCAGAGGCAATCTTTACCCTTAAGATATCGTTGCTGGTTTTTTTTTCCGGGGAATTCGCTTTGTTTTGCTTGTCAGAGAACAATCAATAGATCTGGGCAGCGTCGTGGAAGAGTTACCGGAGGCGATTTAGCGTCTTAGGGTCGCCGTTCATGGCGTTTACGTGGGGATCTGCTCTCCGGATTTCCGTTCTTTTGATCCTTGTAGCTGCAATTGTCTTAGCTTGCTATTTTCTCCCCGTCGAGCAGGTACGTTTCCATCTAACCGCGTAAATGGCGAAATTGGGGAAATTTGGGGTTTCCATTGTGGCTCTCTGGGATGGGTTTGTGTTGGTGTCGGATGATTTCTGGAAATCCATATGCTTTTCTTTGAATTTCTGGTAAATGTGGGTCGATTTGCGTTTCGTGTTCTTCTGAAACGAATTGTCTCATCGGAGGTTTCATATCAATGAAGAATTGAGCTTTTCCATCATTTTAATGGCTATGTGAAAGGAGAAGTTTGACACTTTTGCATTCGGATTTCTGAGCAAGTTGTTTTTATGTGTGCTATTGCTAAATTGAGTTTGAAATTTTAGAGAAGCAAATGCTGCGTGTAAAACTATTACATTGATCTCTGGATAATAATATCCTCCCTTTTGAATTCGTTTCATTCGAAGTAGTGATCTGAAACTTACTATTTCTTTGTATCTTCAGCTTTTGAAGGATTTTTTGTTATGGGTTGAACAAGATCTAGGGCCTTGGGGCCCTTTTGCCCTGTAAGTGTCTCTTCTTCTTCATGAATCGTAGCAATGCGCTACACTAATTGCGGCAGCATTACCTCTGTTTCATATTAAGTTTTATCCATGGCTGGGAAGTCTTTGCAAATAAAATTTCTAGAAATTTAGGAACATAAAAGCTAGGAGACCTTTTTCGCATGTTGTTGTTTACCTCGTTACTGAACTTCTCTTTCTTTTGTATTATGTGTAGAGCTGTTGCGTACATTCCTCTGACAGTTTTGGCTGTTCCTGCCTCAGTTCTCACGGTATGTACAGGAGATCATACTTCTTTTGTGTGTGGTATATTACGGCTGCTATTATCCACTCTCAACCTTCGTTGTTAGAGTGACAGGATAATCTATAGAATTGAGAAATCTTATTTGGTTGAAGCTGTGATATTCAGATCGGTGGTGGCTACCTTTTTGGGCTGCCAATTGGATTTGTGGCGGACTCGGTCGGAGCTACACTTGGCTCAGGAGCAGCTTTTCTTCTAGGCCGCACGGTAAGTTTCTCAAACTTCTTCTGTAGCTAGAAAGATTTGCAGACTGATGATATCCTCTTTTGTTTTGTTACTTACATGATAAATGGTGTTATGCAGATTGGGAAACCTTTTGTAGTTGCAAAATTGAAGGATTATCCTCAGTTTCAGTCAGTGGCACTCGCGATTGAGAAATCCGGTTTCAAGGTTTGCATTTGGAACCGATACAAATTTTATATCTATTATTGTGCTGACATTCTTTTTTTCTGAAACTTACTGAATATAGATATGCTTGCTGCTCCGGCTTGCTCCTCTTCTCCCCTTCAGCATGTTGAACTACCTCTTATCTGTAACGCCAATTACGCTCGTCCCATACTTGCTTTCTTCTTGGTTAGGGATGATGGTAATCTAATCTAATCTAATCCAACTCATTCCATAACCACTATAATAATTGTAAGATCAAAAGTATACAGCTTGATACATTTGTTCATTCGCAGCCAATAACGCTTGCGTTAGTCTATGTTGGAACAACTCTAAAAGATCTTTCTGATGTGACTCACAAGTGGAGCGAGTTCTCGCCGAGTCGCTGGGTAAGATCCGCACAGATGTTAACTACATTTGCAGCTTTCTTGTTTCAAACTCTTTTCTGAACACGTGTTCCGCAATTTGCAGGCCGCCTTGATTTCGAGCCTTGTAATATCTGGTTGGTTCGGCAGTTCCTAGAATTTCATTTTGAGCCACAGGAACTTCATGAAGCTGGCAAATGCACAGAATCGCTAATGTTTCTCGTTTCTCTTTGCAGTGATATTAATGGTATGTGTTACGAAGGTGGCGCAGAACGCGCTAAGAAAAGCTTTAGCAGAGCACGGAGGAGACATGAACGGAGCGGTTGCAGCCTCGCCGGAGCTGAACGTTACGGATGATGATGCTCCTACGGATTTAAACGAGCCTTTATTAATAAAGATAGATTCTCAACAACCTCAGGACCAAGAAAACCATAGTCACTAAAGAAGCTGCTGGCTAATTTACATTGTACTATATACAGTAATCTTATCTTTAACATACAAAGCATCATCATCATAGGTCCTCCTTTGGGCAAAAAGAGTCAGCCGTTAATGCACAGATAATATATATCGCTGTAGTTTTTGTTTTCTTGGTTTTTGTATAATAACATAGATTAATAAATTATTTTTTATAAAATGAGTATTTTTCTTCGTAAATGGTCGACATCGAACAGGAAGAACTTGGCATGTCGCTATTAGTAATAGAGGAAGAAATTTCTAACAAATAAAACGGTCAAACGAATCCAAATAAAATAATTTGGGAAAAGAAAATTTCCAGATTTTTGAAAGCCAAATTGATCGAGAGCAAAATTATTTTTCTGCAGATCGAGAAAGTAAAAAAATTATACGCGTTGACATTTTTTTATTATGCCAGTACAAAAAACGGCAGTAAATCTGTCGGGTGTATCTCTCCCGCGGTTAAAAAGGAAAGTGAAAGCGTCGAGAAAATCTCAGAAAGCTTTCAGCTGACTTTTTTTTTTTTTTTTTCCCTCTCCAAATCTCATCTCTCTTCTTGCTTCGTCTTTCTGTCTTGACCCTCTTGACTCTTTCTTCGCCGTCTATGGGGATCTCCTTCAGCAAACGTCGACGTGACGACTACCACGGTCGCCACCACCATCACCTTCCTCCTCCTCCTCCTCCTCCTCCGCCGCAGCACTATTACTCCGATCCTCCACCACAACCGCCGCCTCAACCACCGCACAACCAGTACAGCTACACTCACAACAACCTCGTATCAACTCCACAGCTCGCTCTTCCTCCTCCTCAACAACCGTTTCAGCCACCGTCTCATCCTCAGCCGCAGATTAATTACGGAGCGTACGGTCATAACTATAACTCTTACTATAATCAAAACCAGTATTACCCACAACAGCCTCCTCCGTATTACTCCGGTTATCATCCCAACGCGAGGAATTTGACGATGAGACCGGTTCACTTCGTCCAGCCTCCGGTACCTCATCCGCCGTACGTGGAGCATCAGAGTGCGAAGAAGGTGAGGAATGATGTCAATGTTCATAAAGATACGGTGAAGCTCGAAGCAGACGATCTTAGCCCTGGCCATCATCTAGTTTCCTTCGTCTTCGATGCCGTATTCGATGGCAGGTATGTTCTGTTTGCTTCTGCAATTTGGGAATGTTTTCATTAGGGTCAATTTAGGGGGAAAAACTGAGTGGAGTTTTCGAACCAGAATTGGGACAAAATTGGTTGATTATACTGAATTATAGTGAATCTCAAATTTGGATCAAAAAGGTTCGAACTTTGAGTGTTGTGACTCAAAACCCTCTGTTTGAATCTTTTGGTTCAATTTATCCAATTGTGGGACGAGGTTGGCTTATTAGCCCACAGCAAACTTTACTCATGATTCTGTCCCAAATTATATGGAACCACAATTTTGGATGAGAAAGGTTTAATTTTTACATGATCTAGCTGATGGGTATGTGATTACATCTAATATTTGGTTAAGAGAGCAAGCTATTCAGGCATCACTTGCATGATTCAGGCTTCATTTGCATTAGGGACATTAGTCATCGTTAATACATTTAAAAATATGTAGTTGGGGTTGTGAAGATATTTGTTTGCATCGAACACTGAATCAAACACTAAGCTTGCTCGCTACTGAATCGATCGTATGTGTTCTTTGTGTTCAAAACCCAATCAAGGAGAACTCTGGTGAAACCAAATTTCTTAAATTTTGAAAGTTACTTGTATGGATTTAGTATGAACATTGTTATGTTTTATGTTAACAAGGTTTCTCATTTTGTTCCTTGTATCATTTTTTCAGTTTCACTATCATATTTTTTGCAAAGGAGGAACCAAACTGCACAATCGTCCCGCATTTCCAAGAAGCTTTCCCACCGATCAAAATCTCTTTCCAGAAAGGTACGGCGCAGAAGTTTGTACAACCTTCAGGGACAGGAACCGATCTGGCCTTCTTTTTACTGGATGATCTATCGAAACCGTCGCCAGAAGAAGTGTACCCACTAGTAATATCAGCCGAGACAGTAATCTCACCGAGCTCGGTTACAGAGGAATCATCGGTTCATAAGCAAATCACACAAGCGTGTTTGGAGAAGACTAACGATGGATCTTTCAAAGTGAAAGTCATGAAGCAGATCCTATGGATTGAAGGAAATCGATATGAACTGCGTGAGTTGTATGGAATCGATAACTCGACCACCCAAGGTGGTAATGCTGATCACTCGGGCTTAGAGGATACCGGTGACAAAGAATGTGTCATTTGCTTGACTGAACCTAAGGACACCGCCGTGATGCCTTGTAGACATTTGGTAATAGCTTCTCCCAATTCTCTTTGGTTTCTTCTAATCACTTTTTGTCCGTAAATTTATAACTTTTTGGTCGAATTGTTCTCAGGACTAAATGTTGTGTGTGTGTGTCTGTCTCTTGCAGTGTTTGTGTAGCGACTGTGCTAAAGAACTGAGGTTTCAATCAAACAAATGTCCCATATGTCGACAACCTATCACTGAGCTTTTAGAGATTAAAGTGGATAGTACTAATGATCAACACTGAAAAAGAGGTTTCTTCCCTTCACTCTTAAGTTTGATTCTGTTTCTCGAAACCTTCGAAATCAAATTCGTTTGCCTTTTTTTTCTCTTATACAAACCGGTCTGTGTTTTCTCCTTGCATACTTGGCACATATTTGATGGTCGTAGACTCCTAGCTTCGAAAATTGAAAGAGAAAGAAACATCAGTAATGTATATAGCTTGAATGGTTCTAGAGAATCTTTCTCTGTGTATCTCTCTCTTCTTGAATAACTCATCATTCTCTTTGTTCTGTTATTGAATACTTTTTCTTTGCTTGTCACTGGAATATAACTTGCAAGCTGCAACCATATCTTATTTATCGGTAAACGATTTGAGTTATAACCAAGAAACCGAACTTGTAGTAACCTTAATCAATACTTTGTTCAGACAGATAGCTCTATATGTTCCTCATTTTGGTTTTCCTTTAAACTCTTTTTTCTTTCTTAGAAAGTAAAATGTTTGTGTGGAAGTCATCATAAATGGGGGACCTTGATAATTACAGAGATTCAAAAGAAGATAAAGAGAGATGGGAACTGAAGTTTACGAAAAACATTCAACGAAGTAACCTTTTCTCTTTCTCGCCTTTTTGCTTTTTGTCTATAAAAAAGGCTAATAAGGCAAAGGAAAGCTGGTTGGAGATGGAGAATGTTTCCTATTGAAGTTAAGCCTAAAAGAAAAAAGTTTATTGATAAAAAAAAAAAAAAAGTGAACCTCTCTGTGTTCATTCTTTTGACAGAATGTTCAAACTTTTGAACTGAAGAAGATATCAAAAGAAAAGTCTTCATTTGATTGTAGTGAAGTGACTCTCTTCACAAGCAAAATTATTTTTACATTACATCTTGATTCCAGGTGGTATGATTGATCATCCTATATTCAGATATCATTATACTATGACGAAATATTTTTGAAAATTGTTTCGTAAGACACAATATTATAGTTTCTTATTTAAAAAAAAACTAGAAACGTGTAAACATAGACGGGAAAAGTGCATGCATGCGAATATCACTTGCATTCGATTTAAAGTGATATGGTATATTATTAAAAAATATATAAACCATAATATTGTAAACACGCAAACATACACAATTTAAAGTTTTGAACAATGAAACTCTAGGTCTATGTGTGATTGTCTTTGTCTTATTTTGGAATATTTATTGAATGTAAGTGATGTATTTCCCTTTTTTCCTATGACAATGTTTACTAGTCATACCATGATGTTTAATCAAGATTCTTACCAAACCTCATTTGTCACCTGTCTCCATGTACATCGCTGTATCAACATATACTTTTTTTCAGTTTCGTATATTCTATTTTAGACCAACCTTCGTATATAGCTTTTCTTAGATTTGACTGCTTCTACGGTCCATCAATGGATACAGTTCTAAAAGAAGTTTGAGTTTTAACTAACTCAATGAGGTTGCTCAATGAAATATCTAGCCATGCCAATAAAAATATCCAAACGGGATTAGTTTTAACGTTTAAGGATTAATAATAAATATTTCAGATTTTGGGTGTAGAGAGATATTAAGTACAGATAAATCTGCAACATGGGTACGAATCTAGGTACCACCGTCAAAGATATTATCATTTGCGTCAGTTCACACATCACACCGTTCAAGTTTCAATTTTCAGACATATATAATCACCAAAACATTAGAAAATCTTATATCATCGTTCACACTGTGACCATTTTTAACATTTTTAACTAAATATTGGTTAAATAGTAGGCAATAAGTTTAACAGTTTCCATGCTTAATATGACAATTCCAGTCCGAAACGTATTGCGATAAGCTTTGTTTAAGAACGAGAAAAAAAAAAATAGAAAACGAATCTAAAGGAAAAGACGGTAACGCAGATGAGAGAATAGAGACAAAAACTCCAATTAATGTCATTTTGTCAATAAGAAGAAGATGACCCCATGTGAACATTGGAGACTCATGTGACTCAATTCTATCATTTTAGGTAAAAATTCAGGTACAGATTTTTATTGCAATAAACCCTAAATTTATTGAAATGCTGGTGGCTTAGCCAATTATGATGAAGTTGTTTTTATCTTGTCTGGCTCGAGTATATATGATGAGATTCTCTTTAGATAAAAATCTTATAAAACTTTCAGTCGATGAAATGTAAAACTCTGTTACAAATACTGAACTCTTATACTTTGTTTGTATATTGAGTTTATGTATCAAGCTTTTACTTTGACTGGCAAGAAAAGAAAAAATTGATCCTCCAAGACGATTTGTAAGCATATATGTACCCATGAAAATTTCAAATCATTCAATAATGCAGCTATTCAATTGAAATAATTCCCCAACCAGCATAAAACTTTATCATAAATGTCAAAATTGTACCATGTCCTTTCGTTATAAAACACTTGGACTATATAGTATATACAACATATATATGAGTTAACGTTACTTTGGTCCTATCCAATTATATGGTACAAAACTACAAATTAAGTTTCATTGATATGACGATGGAAATATCTAGTCAAAAATTTATGAGTAATGATTTTAATTGTATCTTTTGCTCTAAACCCATAATATATTATTAGGAATCTAGACCTAGCATGCTTGTACCTCGTCCGTCGTTTGTTGATTCCGGAACTTTTCTATATATAAACATTTGTGTATATATCGTAAAAACCTACGTGTGGGAAAATCCTCGGAACGTCGATGCACCACCTAACAAAATGAGGGTTTATGAGCATTTTCAAAGCATTTGATATCAGCTAATGATACCATCATATTACTTTGCTAATAACTAATTAATATCTAAACTTTAGTTTCTCTTTTCCGGAGAAATTTGGCAATTGTACATATCCTTTTTAATCAAATGCTCGATTTGATATTTTATCATGTACGTGAGGTTATTCTTTCTTTGCCTTTTGACATCACGTTTCCGGAATATAGGAATGTAGAAACATGTACTATACAAACTTTTGAAAACATGTACACTATTTTTTTTTACAAAATATATCTTGTTGGATTTTCAATGATCTGCTAATATTATATATTACCAGCGTATTTCTTTTTTAACAACTCACCAAACACATCGATAAAGCATATCCGATATCAAAAAAAAAAAAAAAAAGAGAATCAAAACTCAAGCAACACAATCCAGTAATATATCTGTCCACAATGTAATATTAGATTGTTGATATGGAGTTGCAGAATATTACAGAAACCACCTGAGGTTACATATTTTTGACAGGTACAACAGTGAATTTCGATGTTTCTTTTTTCGTCTAACGGTGAAATAAAAATAGTATTATTTTACTTAAAAGCCAAAAGGAAAACTAAAATAAGGGAAGAAAGAGTGTTTCATGCTATGCTTACATTATTTAGGCTTTTGAGACAAAGGGCGATAATGATAAATGCGTAGAAGAAAAGTGTCTAAACTTAGAGAAAATAAATGTTTAATAACTCAATATAATATATCAAACAAAACTTAAGAGAAACTGATGCGGCCGAAAACGTGATTATGTTCACTCGGAAGGGTGAGGCTTTCATCATTTACCCAACCCCACCCTTTTTCCTTTCTTTTTTTTCCATTATTTTCTTAACTTTTTAGTTATTATTCATTTCTAACAACATTCCTTTGGCAAATTTATTAAGGTTAATCTCTTTTTTCCATTAAGACAAACAAATAATAACGTGTTATGCCCATATTTCTCTTAACACACGTCTCCTTCTTTTTGTATCAATGTTGTCATTTTTCCATCTACTTGGTCCCACTGTTTTAATTTTAACTTGTACTGAATATATCACTCAACTATTTAAGAAAATTTCGACAAAAAGTAAAAAAAAAAGGCACGGACAGCTGGCTTTAATAATTTATAATTAAATTATAGACTAAATTTATCTTATACAATTAGTTTCAAACTATAATTCAAATTGTAAAGAACAAAATATAGTTATGCTGTAAATCGTTGTTAAAATATTAGACTATATATGAAATCATTTATAAACTAACAAATAAAAAGATATATTACTGGATAAGCCTTGGAGTAAATTGCACTAATTAGTTTTTATCACTAAACTCTGTTCCGTGGTGATTTTTATATGATATGAAATAAATACATAAATTATGTATAGTTGTTAATGATTAAAAAAACGAGCCATGCGTAGAATGATATAATTGTGGCAAATTATTACGACTATATGTGAATCAATATGGTCAATAGTTTTTTGAATCGTAGAATTAAATTAATCATGATTGGGTATACAATCATATAAATCACAACAGAAAGATAAGAACTCTGTTTGGTTTTATTTAATTTATTTATTTTATTTCTCTGCCCTTTTCCATATAACACTCCATGTTTTGAGCTAGTCTGAAAAGAGTACAAAGAGCATGTGGTTAAATATCATCCCACATATATAAATTTACTGTTTGCGATTTATAGATCATCAAACAAACTCTAGTAAAAACTAACGAAATCAGAACTACTTAACTACTGAACTATCAGTGATTCACACTATTGGCGTATTGTATTTTCGTTGTGTTACCGTTCACCCGAAGCATAAAAACAGATCTCACTTGATAAAAACAAAAATTGATAATAGTATATTTGGAAATTCACTTTAAACTAGAAGTGAGCAAAATATCCGTTGTATCCGCTTCAAACCGATATTTGCTTCGATCCAATTCAAAAAATCCGGATATCCGTAAAGCTTCGGAGCAAAGCAAATAGTAAAATGTAGTATCCGTACAAAACGGAGCAAATCACAAATATGTTTTTAGATAACGCCGAATATCCGATCCGATCCGTATCTTTATAAATTTATTATATATTATCATGTATATATCAATTATATTATAAATTTTTATTAATACATTCTCAATTTTTTTCCTAAATTTTCAATTGTTCTTTTGATTATATAAAATAAATGACTAAATAACCAATTATAAAAAATAAATAATATGTTTAAACTTAAAATATGTTAATAAATAATATTTTATTTTATATTAGTAAATAAATATCAACAAAAGTTTTTTAGTAAAGTTTAATATTAAAGTTTCAAATAGTTAATATTATTTTTAAATATAAAATATCATTTTTCTTTATCTTAATTTTGTAAGTTTATTTTTTATAGATTTTTTTATAAAATGAAATATTTTCTTTTAGTTATTTTCACTTAATAGTTTAGATAAAAAAAATTTTTATAATAAAAATTGATGTACTTTCAGTTTTGTGTATATTAAACAGATCAAACTAAATATTCATAAATATTCGTAAATATCTGCAAATATCCACAAATACTTGTAAATTTTCCGGATATCCGTATATTTTTGGAGCAAATCAAATCATAAAATTAAATATCCGTTAAAAACGGAGTAAACCATAAATACTAAAAAATTCCCAGATATCCGATCCACGCCCACCCCTACTTTAAACCAGTGTAGCAATCAAATCATTACTATGGCTCCACATATTAAATGAACAGAACCTAATAATCTCACTATTCAAAGACGTAAGAGACCGATCTCACATAATTAGGTGCCTTACATAATTACATAACTAGGTAATCGATTTTATTAATAGTTTTTTGTATATCCAAAACAAAACTAGATAACGCTTGTTTGAAATGAAAGAATATCTAATTTACATAAATTTAATATACAAGAAGTAGGCAATGTCAAAAAGTAAAGTAAAAAATTCTAGTCTAAAATATAATTGATGCATTTATATTAAAAGGTAGCTAAAATTTAGCTAAAATGATAGTTTAACGTAATTTACGTATCTAACTCTTAAACGTACAAAGCATACATTAATATTATTGTACATGATAGAGAAATATTTAATACGACAGTAAGATTGATTGGGTTTCATAGTTTCGAATTTACTTTATTGAGGTAAGAAAGAATGAAAGATCGTTCCTAAATTTGATGTTGCAAAATTCCTAGGACCGGTTTATACGGAAGGAATAAAGAGAGAACAAACAACTTCACGTTTTTTCTCACATACTACTCTATACTAGTAACGTTAAATTAACCGACTCATCGTCGTAATTAAGAAAAAAAAAGTAATCTGAATATTATTGGATTAGCCGAGCCACATAAGCCGAGCTAATGAATCTGATAAGGAGTAAATTAAAATAAAAGCACATTATTAGTCCCTATTTCGGCATTTCCAACGTTTCCTTTTCATGTGTTCGTTTAATTTGTATTTCAATGTTCACAGTTAATAATTGTAAAAAGAAAGCGAAAGTAAGTATTCAAAAAGTGGACAAAACAAAACAATAACTTATATTTACGTTTCTGAAATTTTACTATTTCTAAAATCAAATTAATTTTGTATGTTAAAAGATAGAATTGTATATATATTGATAATGGGTTTAGGACATTCAAAACGGTGATACGATTAATACTACTCCTAATCTAGTTTCTTTACTGACACATACTCCTAATCTACTTTGACAATTACTTTTCACATCTTACCATAAATGATATTTTTTGGCGATATAAAATAGATAAAATAATATTTATACATATTAGCCCAAAATGAGAGTACTTGCACTCACTCCATTTCTCCCAATAAATTAAAGCACATCTTAAAAAAGATAACGAAGTGGCAACTTTGCATCATCTCTCTTTCTCTCTCCCTCTCCCTCTCATTCCGAAATAGTTGAAGTAGAGAAGTTAATGTTCACCAAACTTACTGTAAAGTCTGAAACGTTCTTCCTTCTTCTTCTTTGCTTCATTCAAGTAAGTCTCTGATTTGCCTTCTCTGTTTCTAAATCTTCTCTCTGCACATTTGTCTTCCATGGAAAATACCCAATAAGAAAAGAGAGTACTTTCTCTCGAGCCATATCCTCTGTTTTTTTTTCAGATAATGTATCATATTTGTGTGTTCACAGTTGTGTGTTGCTTCCGTCTTTTAAAAATATTCCTCGAGTAACAATTTTCTGTGCTTTTGATTGTGCAGGTTAAACTTCCAAGAACCATAGGAGTTGTCTCAGATCTAGTGAAATAGATTATAAATTCTTCACCAATTAAAGGGAAAAAATGAGTAAAGAAGAGTTTATGAAGATCCAGGTTTGCTCACCACTTTTTTTTTCTTCCGTTTTTGTTGTATTCTTACATAAATATGAGAATTTACTCTGTTTTTCTGTTCTTGTGGTAGACTTGTGTTCTTAAAGTGAACATTCATTGTGATGGCTGTAAGCACAAAGTGAAGAAAATCTTGCAGAAAATTGAAGGTACAAAACAAAACTTCCAAAATCTTACCTTCTCCATTTTGACTTTCTGAAACATTTTCATTTCAATTATGATTTGACTAAACTCTCTAGATAAGGACTTTGGTCTTTATGATTGACTTGTAGGCTAAGTGTTTTTGGTCTTTTAACAGGTGTTTTCACGACTAAGATAGACGCAGAGCAAGGGAAAGTGACGGTATCCGGAAACGTAGACCCTTCAGTTCTTATCAAGAAGCTCTTGAAATCCGGTAAACATGCCGAAATCTGGGGAGCTCCAAAGGGAAATAACACCAATCAGAACCAACCCAACTTGGCCAGTCAGTTCAAAGGCATGCAGATTGACCACGGCGGCAAAGGCGGTGGAGGTAACGGCGGTGGAAACAATAACAAAGGTCAGAAAGGAGGCGGTGGAGGTGGAGGTGGAGGTGGAGGTGGAGGTGGAGGTGGAGGCGGAGGTGGTGGAGGTGGAGGTGGAGGTGGAGGTGGAGGTGGTGGTGGTGGTGGTGGTGGAGGCGGTGGGCCACCGAAGATGGTGCTTCCACAATTGACTCCACAACAGATGCAGCAGCTGAATCCTCAGCAGCTACAGCAGCTTCAACAGCTTCAGCAGATGCAGATGAAAGGGTTTCAAGATATGAAGCTCCCTCCTCAGTTAAAGGGTCCAGGGCCTGGCTCTGTTCCAGCGAACAAGAATCCTAATAATCCTCCTAATCAGAAGGCTGTAAAGTTCGATGTTCCTGATGATGACGATGACGATTTCAGTGATGACGAATTCGATGACGAGTTTGATGATGACGAGTTTGATGATGATTTGGAGGATGATGAGTTTGACGACCACCCTCCTCCGCCTAACAAGATGAAGCCTATGATGATGGGTGGTGGTGGTAACATGATGATGCCTAATAACATGATGCCTAACATGATGATGCCTAACGCTCAACAGATTTTAAACGCTCAAAAAAACGGCGGTGGCGGTGGCGGTGGCGGTGGTCCTGTACCCGCCGGTGCTAAAATTGTCGGTAAAGGAGGTCCAGGCGGTGTCTCTTTTCCTGTTCAAATGCCTGGCGGCGGCGGAGGAGGTAACGGTGGTAAGAAGGGAGGTCCCGGTGGAGGCGGTGGTGGTGGTGGTAATATGGGGAATCCAAACCAAGGCGGAGCCAAGAACGGCGGTAAAGGTGGTGGTGGTGGTGGACATCCGCTAGATGGAAAAAATGGCGGAGGTGGTGGTGGTCCTAACGGTAATAAAGGTGGTGACGGAGGCCAAATGAACGGTGGTCCCAACGGAGGCAAAAAAGGTGGTGGTGGCGGAGGAGGACCCATGGGTGGAGGACTCCCGCCGGGTTTCCGTCCGATAGGAGGCGGTAATGGCGGAGGAGGCGGAGGACCTCCGACCATGAGTATGCCAATGGGTGGGCAAATGGGTGGTCCGATGGGCGGCGGTCCTGGTCCAATGGGTAATAATATGCAGGCGGTTCAAGGATTACCGGCAATGGGTCCGGGCGGTGGTGGCGGTGGCCCAACCGCAGGAGCACCACCAGGATATTTTCAAGGCTCCGGAAACGGTGGGGGTGGACAAGACGCTTTGCCGGGAAATCCCTACTTACAACAGCAACAACAACAACAGCAGCACCAACAACAACAATACTTAGCGGCGGTAATGAACCAGCAACGAGCCATGGGCAACGAGCGGTTCCAACCGATGATGTACGCTCGACCACCGCCCGCGGTCAACTACATGCCACCTCAACCGCACCAACAACATCCTTACCCGTATCCTTATCCATACCCGTATCCGCCCCACGGTGGTGATCAGTATTCTCATTACTTCAGTGATGAGAACACATCAAGCTGCAATATTATGTGAGCAAACCCCAAAACAACAACAACAACAACAACAAAACTTTCCCTAGTTTGTGTATCCTTCCGGTCTGTGATTATACATGGAAATGGGGTTTTTTTTTTAATTATTGGGGGTTCTTAGAATCCTTCTTTTTTTCCTCCAACGGATCGAATCCTAAGTTATATTAGGGTCTTTTTTTTTCTTTAATTTGTGATAGCTCTCAAGTAATTTATAGAATCATAATATAAAATCAAACGAATATTTCATATTCCAGTTCTTGTTTTTGTCTCTGGGTTCTTACTTTCTTAATGAGATCCTAGTGTTCATACGTTGTTTATAGTTTCCAGGATAAAAACAAGTAAAATAGAAATAAAGCCATGATGGAATGAGTTTTTTTTTTAATATTTATACGTTAAAGTTCTGTGACTCATGATTTTTGTTTATCCTTATAAAGAATATACGCAATTGGGGTGAGCAAGTTTGGTAGATACTAGATACTAGTAGATACCAAACCCTTCAGAAAATAAAATCCGACTGTGGTTAGTGATTTTGACCCTTTTGATTCAATAAACTCCTTTTAATTTTGTAAAACCTTCTAATTAGTGGTTTATCTCCTTTTTTCAAACTGCGCAAAAATAATGGACTATGGAGTAATGGAATTGGAATTGTGTCCCACCCACTATTATTTTAGATCATTTTGTCCATTTGGTTTTAGCTTTAGTTTTTTTTTATTTTTACTTTTATTATTAGGTTTGAATAGATTTATAAAAGGAAAAAGATTACACAGACTAAAAAGTAAACATATCAGTTGTTTTAAATTAAAATAAAATAAAGGAGACAACTATTAAACACTGAATGTGAGGATGGCAACATTTGCTTTTCAAGACTACTTGTTATAAAAATTGAAAAAAGAAGTAATATTGTTTGTTTGTTTACATAAAAGTAAGTTTTTCTTTGTTGCCATTTTGGCCCTCCTCACATTTACAATCACATTCTCAAAATTAAATAAAAATGTTCAATTGATCGATATGGTTCAACCATACATAACTATATATCGCAAATGGGACGTGTTTATTTAATTTTGGTCGCGGCACACCGGTGGGATTAGGCCGGTTTAATCACTAAACAAGTCAGAGCTTGTAACTTGCGAACGAAAAACATAAGGAAAACAAATGATCATCATCGTCATCATAATGATTTAAGATTATGATGATGTATGAATGAGAATGATCAAGATGATGATGGAGGATGATTGGGACCCACAAAACTGAAATTAAATGGATGCTTGCGGCAGCTATTAGTGTTTCGCGTCACAGACTCAGCACACGTTTCTTCTCCTTCTTCTTCTTATGCCTTTTTTTTCCTTTACCATTTTTGTAGTAATTAAATGTTTTCATTACATAACACACAAACTTTTAAAAGAAGTGCTTTGGATTCGCCCCAGATTTTGCTTCTTTCATACGTATTCTGCTTTTTTTCTTTCATTTAAGATTATTTTATTATAGCAGTATTACTTAAAATTGTTGTATACGGCAGTTTCATTATCTGGAAATGGGGAAAGAAATTTACTGTGTTACATTGGTTTATTTTCTTACTGCAAAAATAATCACATTAACTATTTATTTGGACCAAAAGAAAGTGTTGGAATGAATTGACAAGTTAAGACAGAACAGGCTGCTCGAGGTCGGACACTTGTATATCCTTTGTTTGTTTACAGCTCTAACGCTATCCTCACGGTGAATTACTAGTTTTACTACTCCGTAAAACTGCGTTTCCACTTGATCAACAACAAAACCCGTTACGGATATTGACAAATCAACCCATCTTTTTCTTCTGTTTTCTCTTTGGGCCCCATAGTTTCTTTATTTTTGTCCTTTCATATTATTTCATTTCATTTCACGGCCAAAAGCAAAAAAAAGTGAATGTACAGTGTTCATATATGTTACAATCCAAAAATTTATATGTATTTGGAAAACTAATCAAATTTAGTTTCTTACTTAATAACGAAAATAGGCATTTTTTAGTGTCTAAATTAAAAGTAGCAATGACCTTTTAAAGCAAAAATTACACATTACTTGAATTATGTAAAAAAAGTTTTGTAATTTTCGAAAAAAGTGGTTTCACATAAATTAACAAATCTAACCAGAGAAAAATGGTATCAGCTTCTGCTACAAGCTGATCTAGTCAGATAACCTTCGTGTTCAGAACTGTCCAATGAGATGGTGCCAAATCATCACATTGAATTATTGAGCGTTTTAACGTCTGTATCACAGCCGTCCGATTGAAGACGCCCTCAGATGGCGCCAAGAGGAAAAGCTCGGCTGTCGAGGAGACGCGTGGGGGCCCACATAGGCTCCTTTTCCCCTCGCCGGTTACGAATCCGCGCGAACGACGAGTGATGACGTGATGTTTTGGTTAACGCCGTTAAATTGCCATAATTGTCATGTCACATATAAAGGATAAATAAGGACATTTTAGATAATTAAAATGTAAAAAATATACTAAAGGAAGGGGACACGTAATTATAAAGTTGGTATGCTTCATAATTACAATCAGAGAAATAAGTAACTTTTTATATAAAATAAAATAAAAAAAGAGGAAAGGGAGCTTTATGAATTAACGCAAATGTTCCCTATTCGTACCATGAAAACCTGCAGACCAATCGAATTGCGGGCACTAGCCGATTCACGTATTCGATTATTTAACATATTTGAGTTATTTAAAAACTCAAATATATCTATTCATAGCAAAACAAAATTCATGTTATATATGACACTTTGAAAATATGAAATCAATATTAGAATTCATCTACTAGAGTATCTACTGATTCAGGTCAAATAACCTGAAATTTTTATCATGGATCGGGTAAAATCTACCAGTGGACTCTATTCTGAAGAAAGAAATTACCCAACCTTCTCTATACGTATGTATGTATGTATGTATTTTGATATCATTAAAAAAAAAATACTTGCAATAAGTTTTTAGGTGCAGACATTAGAATACAGAGATTGATGTGACAGAAACAGAAAGAGCGTGTGTGATATTGAGAGTCCCGAAAAGAGATTATTGGAGAAGGAAGTGAGCACATGGAGAGGCTTGTTTGTGTTTCCGATGGTGAAAGAGGGAATATTGCAAACCAACAAAAGTCAAATCTGTCTTATTTGGAACTCAGTGATCTAAATCGTTTTGACAACAGATCAAGTGGATCGCTCAGGAAAAAAAAAAATGAAAACTTTCAAAAAATTAATTGTTCAAAAATAATATCAGGACATTCTGAATGATTTAAAAAAAAAAATAACTTAAATCACGTATATATATATGTATACGTCGTTTTAGCATGAAAGATTGATATACTTTATTGGGGGGTCAAAGATGAAAAATTGATATACATATTGAAAAGACGATATATATACTCCAAAAGTTAGTCATATCTTATTTGTTTTTTTTTGTGCTTTTTTGTAGGGTTAACAGAAATGAAGAACATTGATCTGAAACAACATTACAACACTCGTATAAGCTGGATTCGAGTTCATTTATCTTAATTGTTATAAATTGCAATAAAGTTGAAACATTCCTTTTATCTCATATCTAACTTTTTCTCCTTGACATTTACTTGTATTCGTCAATATTCTCTAACCATCCCCCAAAATGGTCAATGCATGCTTTTGTCTTTCGAAACGCATTATCGCAAATATTTTCCTATTCAACCAAACAAATCTAAACCAACTTCGTACTGAAATAAAAACTAAACTTAGTGCACTCTCCAGTCTCCACTTTCTGGTTTTTTTTCTTCTTCTTCTGTTCTCGTATTTGGAAAGCTTTTACTTATTTACCCTCCCATTATAAAAGTTGTTCATCTGTTGACTTTCGGAAAGTAAAAAAAAAGAGAGAAAAATTAAATAGCTCACGTGAAGCTGATAGACGAAGCAAAGCAAAGACCACTTTGACAAACAACTACGCAAGACAGCAAGTATGCTAAAAGTCTTTGACTTTCAATAATTGAACCACACGCTTTCTTACAGGAGTATTAAACTAAGTTTAGTTATTTTGGTAATACTATATTATTAGGAGTATTACTTATTCCGTTTTATCATCAATTACCAATTTAGTGTCTAGATTGTTTTTTCATTATTTTCTGGCATTTCCTCAAATAATATATTGTTTGTTTACGTATCGTTTGATTATTCGAATGGACACTGACACTGAAAGCCGAGTTATTCTTGCATCCACGAGTTTTCGCTTAACTTAGACAGTTACACCCACAAGTCACACAATTCATAATGCCGATCATTAGCGGGGAAAAATGAATTCTAACGGCCAAAGAAAGCATACACAAAGTAACGGCTAAAGTTCAATTATATTGTTCAAAATACAAACCAAGCTCGTATTAGTTAAATTAATTATATCACAGTAAACATAGCTGGATTCAAGACTGTACTTCAGTTTCTGCATATATGTACTACATTATTACTCCTTAACGTGCATTCGTAAATCGTCGACTTTAAGTATGCATGCATGTATACATTCCAAGATGTGTAAATATATATATATATAACAGAGCTGGACGAATTACCGCAATAGGACACGAACGGGTCACGGGCTTGATGAGGAAAAAAACACTATAAAACAGGTCCGATTAAATTATGCATGTAATATATAATAATGGGAGGCACTGGGATTTTTTGGTGGGTCAATATGGGAATATAGATAATGCTTTTTTTTTTTGACAAACCAGAATGTTGCAACAGTCTTTTTTTTCGTATTCAAATATTAACTTGATCTTTATATATAATATGCATTGTTTATGTATATTGGTATGTAAATGAATGTATAGTGAACAAATGATCAATTATCATATAATCCAAAAAAAGGTCATCAGAAAAGACTTGTCCTTGTAATGCATATGATTGATGATTCAACTTAGTGAGTGGGCTTTAATGGGTCGATGCCAATCCTTTCGTTTCCTTTATTTCTTCTCTTTTTTTTTTCTCATATAAATACATAAGTAATGAGAGTATTATTTT